TAATGTATAACATTCGAAATAAAATATAACCGTGACTTGATCAGTTTAATTAGAGAAGATACGCAAAAAGACGAACGAATCACACTTTGACTAATCATGAAGACACCCAAGCCTGGAGGAGGAGATGTCAAAACATTGAGGAACAATTGAAAAAAAGAACTTGATTTCCTTGTTTTTGTTGACGTGTTTGATCACCAGGACATGGGGCGTTTGTATGATATATAAACATGTGTCTACCCGGTATTAAATTAATGCCACAACCTCGTCCAATAATCATAAGAAATCTCTGTTTAAAGTAGAACTGTTTGTATGACTATTTTATATGTGACTATATCATAAACATGTGGACATAACACACATGGTTGAGTGACTCAAATAGAAGTCCATTCGTTAGCGTATGAACACAACACTGACACGAAACTTGCCATTCTGGCAGATTAAGCTAACGTGCTTGTGTGTAAAGCGAGTGACAGACTTCTTCTTCATGCATGCCAGACTGTCCGTGGAGTGAGGAATGTATATCTTCTGTGACATTAACAGTGAAACGTATACAGAAACCAATGTGTCATCTTCTTTTATTATGAAAATTAGATATGTATATGTTGATTAAATGCATTTGTAAAGTAAACTTTATATCCTAAAAAAACCTTTATGTGTCATAATGTGCGCGATATGTCAACAGAATTCTTTTTCAAATGTAATTGAAATTTTGAAATGAAAGTAAAGAGTTTAATTTGTGCACAAAGTATGGATTTGTATTCTTTTGCCATCCTATTCGTCCTTGGATCCATCTGACAACTCAGCCATGAACCTTCAAAATGTCGTAATCCTTAAATTATTTGAGAGGAAAGTAGGCCCTGGGCGGTCCAATTAGTGTTATCCGGGTGATGAGTATTTTTTATACATACGTGCTTGTACGTGTGTGTGCTCTTGATAGTCAGGAATATTACCTGTTTTATAGTGCTACCGTGCTTCAGTCTCAACATGGATACCCCAGTACTTATTTAGCACCTAAGTGTAGGGTAACAACAAGTACCATCGTTTAGCGACTTTATGTATGACGCAGACGGGGATCGAACAACTGACCTTCCGGTTTCCTGAAAGACGTTCTATCCAGCTTGACGACGGATGTGGTCTTTATCTAGGCCCAACCGTAAGATAATCTAAGGTATATGGTATTATTTATGTCTTTGGTGAGGTGAGGTGAGGTGAAATTGGGTTTAACGTCGCGTCCAAGATTATTGCACTTATATAGCGACGTGCATGTACGAGTATGTGTTTGTGTGGCTGCTTGTACTAGTCCGGACTGATGCCGATTTATAGTGCTAGCTCACTGAGATACCATGCCGCAGTTTAACATGAATACCCCACTCAGACACAGTATACTGACTCCGAGCCGACCAGTCCTTGTTTTAGCCCCTTAATGCCGAGCGCCAGACAGGGTAACAACAAGTACCATCTTTTAACGTCTTTTGGTATGACGCGGCCGGGGATCGAACCCCGGACCTTCCGCTCTCCGGAAAAAAGCGATGAAACTCTTTCCATGTTCAACAGAAATCGTTGCTGAAAGCAGGGTCGATTGTACGATTCCGACTTTATCCTGAGCATGTATCGCTATCAAATAGTGATGATACCAGGTCTTCGCGAAAAGGTGAGTGTATCCTGTCCCACCGTGGCACCCGTCACAAACACATGCAAGGGCAAATGAATTATTCACCTCACAAAACATTTATCATATCTTCATTGGACGTTTTGTTGTGTTTAACACGTTGTTACGCGTGGGATGAACTGCAGGGTTTCCCGCTAAAGCCACGAATAACTATTAAAAGAATCACACAACAATCTCTAAAGTTTAAAGACAGATTTGATAATTAAAACAAAGATAAGTACATAACAATTCTCAATTACTGGGCAAGGCACTCATATACAATGTTAATTTGTTTAGGCTAAGCAATATGATAAATGTACATTATAGATAGTAGTGAGTGAGTGAGTGAGTGGGGTTTTACGCCGTTTTAGCAATATTCCAGCAATATCACGGCGGGGGACACCAGAAATGGGCTTCACACATTGTACCCATGTCGGGAATCGAACCCGGGTCTTCGGCGTGACGAGCGAACGCTTTAACCACTAGGCTATCCGACCGCCCCCTTATAGATAATAGACACTTCAAATTCCTTGACATCACACTCATAACGTATTCAATCTCATACAGTTCGTGTCCTTGTTCACAGGTTCCCAACGTATATAGCACAGTTCACGGGATAACAGGATAACATCAGTTTCCTCCTTCGAAGCGTCGACAGGACCTTCTAGCCATATTCACGACCAAAGTGACAATATGTCCTTTGAAGGTCTAAATATACGTCTCTTGCATTGTTTAAAAATGTTGTCGATTTGTCTGGCGTGCCATTGTTGTAGTCATGTTGTGACAACTGATATCATCCGGTTTTTTTTAGGTGTCTTGTGACTGAGATGTTTGATATACACTTGGTCTCTGACATTATATGACATTAACTTAAGTTACCAATAAACACTCTCAATCTGGTGTTTATGTTACGCTACTTAAACTTGAGACATGATCCTTAAAATAGGCTATCAGGTGTTTGTTTTGTACAAGACAACCCGATAAGGCAAGCGAGTGTCTTTGTGGTGAGTTACAAGCATGTAGATTATAGGTTGAAATATAAACTATTTTCAGTGAAATGTAATAGCTGATATCATGTAATCGAGTCACGTGATCATCCCCTTTTTGATCATCAAATACCCATATACACGTGGCAAAAACCGGACGGCCCTTGATGTATGGTGAAATACATACTCACATCACACTGTCCAGTGTTTCCTCGGACGAATCCGTCTCATTATAGCTTTGAATATACCCACATTGCTTAATGTTGATTAAAGTCACACACATATGCCACTGTTAGTACTATTACTGGTATTTCGTGATCTGGGTGTGGTAGGGTGCGTTACGATTGAACATCCGTGAATACCGTAGGTGCAGATACCACGAGGAAAGGATAGAAACACAATTATTTTATACATGTATCTGTGCCACCAGTTTAAGAATGTAGTGTAATGTTGGTTTGTGGAATGCCAAATTTAATAAGTTTTAATCTAATAAGCAATGTAGGCATGCTGCAATTGATTTGACTTTACAGGTTACCTGAAATGGATCATTCGAGGCTGTGCGTGCCTGAAACACATAACTGGGATAATTACTTTAGATGTTGCCTGAGAAACATACCTGAACAATGTACATGACTTGACATGTTGCCTGAGACACATAATGCCTGAATATTGTACATCACTTTATATGTTGCCTGAGACACACCTGGACATTGTAAATGAATTTACATCATGCCTGAAACACATACCTGAATATTGCACATCACTTTACATGTTGCCTGAGACATACCTGAATATTGCACATGACTTTACAGGTTGCCTGGGGAACTTACCTGAACATTGTACATGACTTTACATGTTGCCCGAGACATACCTGAACATTGTACATCACTTTACATGTTGCCTGAGACACATAATGCCTGAATATGGTACATCACTTTATATGTTGCCTGAGACACACATGGACATTGTACATGAATTAACATCATGCCTGAGACACATACCTGAATATTGCACATGACTTTACACGTTGCCTGGGGAACTTACCTGAACATTGTACATGACTTTACATGTTGCCTGTGACAAACCTTAACATTGCACATGACTTTACATGTTACCTGAGACATACCTGAATATTGCACATGACTTAACATGTTACCTGAGACAGGCCTGAATATTGTACATGATTTTACATGTTGCCTGAGACATACCTGAACATTGTACATCACTATACATGTTGCCTGAGACACACCTGAGCATTGTACATCACTTTACATGTTGCCTGAGACACATGCTTGAATATTGTACATCACTTTACATGTTGCCTGAGACATACCTGAATATTGCACATCATTTGACATGTTGCCTGAGATACATGCCTGAATATTGTACATCACTTGACATGTTGCCTGAGACAAATGCCTGAATATTGTACATGAATTTACATGTTGCCTGAGACATACCTGAATATTGCACATCATTTGACATGTTGCCTGAAACACATGCCTGAATATTGTACATCACTTGACATGTTGCCTGAGACATACCTGAACATTGTACATCACTAGACATGTTGCCTGAGACACATGCCTGAATATTGTACATCACTTGACATGTTGCCTGAAGCACATACCTGAATGGTATATATGACAACGTGTAAATAACGGTAGTGATAACAATATGGAGCTTAAAGTTGTTCCTGCAAGTTGCTGTGACTGTAACACAATATTTCACCGGGTACGTATTCCTGTCAATAACGATCTCTTCATGGGGCTAAATGATAAACATAAAATCCTATTGCTCGTAAGTAAATTATAGCCACTGTTCGCTTTGTGCATTGTAAGCCAAGTTTCCCATCTAAATAGATGGCGTGTGGATCTTTATTCGCTACTTTAACCAGATTAAAAGATGCTTAAGATAAACATTTACTGAAAATGGAATGTGTCCTTTACGATAGTACTAAAAAGCAAATATATCTTCGCAAAAACATAACACATAACTCATCTTGAAAATGTATTATTTCTCAGACAAACACGTTACACGCCTGTGTGGCTCCAATGACACCTTTGTATAAAAGATGAGCTTCTCGGGTCTGTACAGTGTAATCACCGGGTACGATCTGTAGGGTTTAAGATAACTATGTGGGTCGTGCAATAATCTCATCTCAGTGGCCCATCAATCACCAAACACCCTGCTTCTGCCACCCGCTCCATGACGGGTGCGATGTTCTGGGGAGGGGACCGCCATCAACGCCAGCCAAAGAGAGTATGAGTCACTGCAGTGGGTTGACTCACGAACAAGAGGTACAACCCACTCTGTCGATAGCGTCACAGCAGTCATGTGGGTATATTCAGGGTATCTGCAGGTATTCTGTCTCCCTGCGTGTTCGGCTTACCTGTGATATGTTCCCGAATCACTTTGGATTTTCTGAATGGAACTACCTGTAGTTTGTGAATGAGATAAAAATGACAAGTGAAACTTACATCTATTGTATTTCTCTTGGGAATCTTTCGTATTACTGTTGTATAAAGGGATAGAGTTAAATCATATCTTGTCACGGGAATCATCAAGGTAAGGGCGTCGCCAGGTTCTCATTGTTTATCCAATTGGACCATTTAGCAACTAAATATTTTAAGGTAAGATGTAACTGAAGTCCCAGTCTTACATTAATGCGATAGTTTAAAAAAAATTAAATTGGATTTGCTTTCATGTGTAACTGGGTAACACGTGTAAATATATTTGGCAGATAGGTATGCAATGTTCGCGTATACACGAATGTTTGGTTTCCTAAAACGTATGGATATTATCAGAATATAACGGACCATGTTTCTCGAGTCTTGAGTGTCTGGAGTAAGGAGGATATATCTGCTGCTGATGTACGTGTAGGATGTGGAAGTGATACCAGTGATGGTATGTTGCAGAGAGTCCACACTGCACTGACCTGGAAATGAGTCGTCAAGTCCTCTGTCCTGTATGGCTGCTGGCCACTTGTGTGTTGTCGGTCCAGTGCTCGCTGCTTCCATACGGTGATACCGAGGGTCACATTGCCACCCCCGGGGTGGACGATGGTTCTGGCCCCTCCCTCAGTCTACAGCCGCCTTTCCGATTTTATGGAACAAACTACAACACTTCTTTTGTAAGTACTTAAAAACGGTTCCTTTGTTTTGGCAATGGTCATATTGTGATAAACATTAGTTTGTTCTCTTAAATATTGACAGTATATTTCAGATTTTCTGGAAAAAGCTACAGCACTGCTTTTGTTTTGGCAATGGTCATATTGTGAGAAACATTAGTTTGTTTTCTTAAAGTGCTTTCAAAACCACAGTGTTCATGTTGTTTGAGTTTGTTATCACCTGTGTCTGTGACTCGGTTACATATGATTAGTGCACAATTTCTCCAGCAAAATGAACATGGATGGAAATCAAATATTTACATAAGGGAGTTCAATGGCTTATCCCAACTGGGAATATAAGTGGGGCGATAGAGAAGTCAGTTTTGTCACTAGAGTGTAATAACTACATGCATATTTTGTTTACACAATAACTAAATACCAAAGGTCAAAACAATTCAACCTGGTTATTTAATTGTCATTAACTAACACTATTTGCTCACATATTTAACTTAAATCAGTATACAGTTATTTTCGCTTGAGAGTTGTTCACATTATACATGTACATTGTGTTGTTTTTGCCACATTGAACTGATCATTCTAAAACATACTGCGCTGTTTCATATCCAAGTGAAAATCGCAAAAATTATTTATCTGACCCTTGTATACAACTTTATAGACAATATGTGAAATATGTCATGGATATGAGCGACTGAGTATAATTACCTGACCCTGGTATCACACTGCACAGGGCAAAATATGGAAAATCTTGAAAGATGTATTTGCATACTCAAAACATATCATGATACAGTCAGCTAAGTTATCAATCATATTGTTTGTTTGGATAACATAAACATCCAGTAGAAAGGGTATGTCAAGGAGTAGAAAACAGCTTGGATGCACTGACGACAATTGATGTACATAACACATTAATTACAAACTAATACAAGACAATTAGCTGTCTTACTGACCGTCTATCTGATTGTCATAACCTTGTAATGTACAATGTCTACTGTTATGTCACAGTGACACCTGGCACTTACACACAGAAAGATCCATATTAAATAGTTGGTTTTAATTTAAATAACATTGGAATTGAAGTGTGTGCGTCTAATGCAAATGCGTATATAATAATTACTTTGTAGGAGTACATGCAAGGCACTTCATATTGCTATCAACGTTAACTGTATGGCCACACATGTACATTGTTTGTGTATTTTAACCAAGTACACGTATATGTACATACATCAACTGTAATATAACAATTGCCATTGTGGTATTTATCAAACTACTACATGCTAGTATATGCTAGTAGATAAATGTATACATGTAGATTTGTTCAAGACAAGAGACAGAATGCAAATTGATCATAAATCAAATATTCATGTCAAACAAATAATTTCATGACAACATTATTACAGAAGGAATATTTTATGTTCTTCACATGTAGTTATCAAACATTACATGGACCTGCAAATTCAATCAAAGTGTAACATCGTAGAATACATTGTACATGTATGGAGTGTATTGTCATGGTCCGCCACGCGTTGTCAGCGTGATAGTCCCATAAAACTCCGAATTAGTGTCATAAAACATTATTCGCAAATTATTCGCAAATTATTAGCAAATTATTCGCCAATATTTGCAACTTATTCGCGAATATCCGCGGAATATTCCCAATTTTACTGCAGAACACGATAAGAAGCTTTTGCGTTTCAATAAACGTTCTGGTGTAACGAAATTGATATTCGTTATCACTTCAAAGTATATAGTATGCGAAAATGAAATTACTGTATATGCAATAATATTATGTCCTTTGTTTAGTCAGTGGTAAATTGTCACATATGTTAAAATTATTCGTACATGTGATGGAACTTAGGTATATAGGCATTAAATATTTAATTAAATCTATCAGACAGCTTTTGTTCTTTTTGCATAATTTGTAATGTTATTGAACATATATATAACTCCTAAAAGTTTGACTGACGATTTCAAAGTTCAAGTTAACGTTGTTTTATTCAGATGGGTGTGACCATAGATCTTTGCGTACCTCATCATATATTTATAACATTCATGAAGTATTTCGTTTGGACAATACCTGTCCCTCATCTTTGTAACGCCAGTGGGTGACCATACTTAACGTTAAGAGCCTTTAGATGCTATCACAGACACACGTAGAGAAACACATTGCAACTGTCAAGGCAACGACTTGTACACGGTCATATCAGCCTCACTGATATATGCGCGACTCAAGAACTTCCACTCCCCTATTTGTGTCACACAAGAAGACATCATTTCGATTAACGCCCCTCTTTTCTACACACGAGATTCAATTAAATATTTATCAACGCCCGAATTATATGTTATGCGAACTTCTATTACAAATAAACCAGATTCTACGACATATTAATTATAATCAGCTTCTACTATACATAAAACAGCTTCTGCCACACTTAAACAAGCTTTTGTCACACATAAACAAGCTTCTGTCACACATAAACAAGCTTCAACCACACACAAACAAGCTCTACCACACATAAACAAGCTTCTACCGCACATAAACAAGCTTCGTTCAAACATAAACAAGCTTCTACAACACATAAACGAGCTTCTACCACAAATAAACAAGCTTCAACCACAAAATAAACCAGCTTCTACCACACATAAACAAGCTTCTACCACACATAAACAAGCTTCAACCACAAATAAACCAGCTTCTACCACACATAAACAAGCTTCTACCATACATAAACCAGGTTCCACCACAAATAAACCAGCTTCTACAACAAATAAACAAGCTTCAACCACAAAATAAACCAGCTTCTACCACACATAAACCAGCTTCAACCACAAATAAACAAGCTTCTACCATTCATAAACCAGGTTCCACAACAAATAAACCAGCTTCTACAACAAATAAACCATCTTTTACCACACATAAACAAGCTTCTGTCACACATACCAAGCTTCTACGCACATGGACAATCTTCTACCACACATAAAGAAGCTTCTACCACACATAAACCAGCTTCTACCAAACATAAACAAGCTTCGTTCACACATAAATCAGGTTCAACCACACATAAACAAGCTTGCACCACACATAAACCAATTTCTATCACACATAAACCACTACTTTACCAGACTTTATTACATAAATTTGTCACAGCTTCTACCATACAGCAGAATGTATTACATATGCACACATTGATCATATAAACGCACCAATGTGTATATAATATTTACCACCGCCCGAATTATATGTTATGCGAACTTCCATTACAAATAAACCAGCTTCTACGACATATTAATCAGCTTCTATCACACATAACTAGCTTCTGTCATACATAAACAAGCTTCTGTATCACATAAACAAGCTTCTACAACACATAAACAAGCCTCGTTCACACATAAATCAGGCTCTACCACACATAAACAAGCTTCTGCCACACATAAACAAGCTTCTATCACACATAAACAACTTTCTTACACACACAAAATCAGATTCTACCACACATAAACAAGCTTCTTTCACACATAAAAAAAGCTTCTTTCACACATAAAGAAGCTTCTTTCACTCATAAACAAGCTTTATTCACACATAAACCAGCTTCAACCACAAATAAACAAGCTTCTGCCACACATAATTCAGGTTCTACCACACATAAACAAGCTTCTATCACACATGAACAAGTTTCTGTCACACACAAACAAGCTTCTATCACACTTAAACAAGCTTCTATCACACATACACCAGCTTCTATCACACTTAAACAAACTTCTATCACACATAAACCAGTTTCTACCACACATAAACAAGTTTCTATCACACACAAACAAGCTTCTCTCATACATAAACCAGCTCCCACCACACATAAACCACTACTTTACCAGACTGTTTTACATAAACTTGTAACAGCTTCTACCATGCAGCAGAATGTTTTACATATGCACACATTGATCATATAAATGCACCAATGTGTATCACACAGTATATACATATACACAAGAACGTTATCACATATCAATCTCAAAGATTGCGCCGATAGACCATTCTGTATACTAGATGGACTTCCGTGAAGATCTGGTACACATGTCCCATTAATTCGAATACACCGTTTGATGTAGATGCTGTGATACCATCTCCTCATAGGGCGCTCGTGCTGCGATAAATATAGGCGGTTTGGTCTGAACAGTATCAAGCTGTGGTATACTTTATATAAGGTATTCAGATAAGAGTGCGGAACTTATTTGAGAAGGTACATCTGCAAAGTTGCTTTTTAATAACCCCACTACTACACTATCCCATTAGGGCTTTAAGAAACGGAATAAATAATGTAAATGGAACATATGACAAGATATGAGGACTTTATTGCTTCTGGGTCATGACTGTAGGACGTTTAAAAGTAAATTATCTCACCTTTATCAAAGTCAAGAATATATCTAAAACAAAGTCGAACTCGGGTCTTCGGCGTGACGAGCGAACGCTTTACCACTAGGCTACCCGACCGCCCCATCATAAAAATGACATCAGGAGTGCAGAAGAGTGCATATATTGATTCAGGTGTGTCAGTCCTATGTTGCGCAATATTTGTCAAAGCTCTTTCTTGTGTCTTTTACATTTTTTTTGTTATGATGACATGGGGTGTATAATTGGTATGCAGCCATAGAGTGTTGATACTTCACAACGCATCCCTGGATTCAGCATAATACTAATTATATGTTATGTAGGCGTTCGAAAACATGTCACAAGGTGTATGTACAATGAATGAATATCTCAACCCCCCAAAACAGGCTCTCTCAATACAATTTGCCAACAGAATCACTCCTAAAGAAACTTCAAAACCAGGTCAAGAGAAACGACTTCTATTTTTGAATACATGTTGCTATGAGCTATTTCTTTCAGGGCTCAATGTGAATCAATGCCTTCTTGTCAAAACAAAGTCAGGTGGGGACCTGACGCCATACACAGTTCTACCATGAATTTGGAATTTACCCGATTCTGATTGGTCAATCAGAGGCTATTA